GAAGGTAGAGCTGAGGCGGTGATGCTAGCACTGGGGAGTGGCTACAAACAGGGATTATCATTAGAGGTTTGACTACAAAGAGATCATAATACAATTAATAAATACATTATTTTTAATATATAATTATTACAATTAATAAATTGCAGATTTACAGCAAAATCATCCCAGCCTTCCCACCCCACCCCCTCACACCCTCCCACCCTTACTCCCTTTCCCTATCCACGGAAAAATTGTCTTTCGGTTCCTGGTGCCAAAGGGGTTGGGGAATCGTTGACTATAGACCACAAGGAAACAAATAAGCTGGACAGATTGTAGTAAGCCATAAAAAGGAAATAAGTAGTATGATGAAATAAGAGTTGGAGAGGCTAACTTTAGTTAGGTAGTCAGGGAGGCTCCTCTGAGGAAATGATACTTGGGCTGAGACCTGAAATGTGAAGGAGTCCAGCGTTAGATGACCTGAAAAGGGCATTGTGCTCTATCAGCACACTCATATTATTACTCCCAATCAAATATAGCCTTTCTTTTCTCTACATTTTTTCTCTTTTTGTTTCCTCTGTGGCTTTTCCCTTACATGTGAAGAGCCTGGTCTTTTATATAAACAAATTAGACATTTTGGGTTGTATTTGGTATAATCTTGAAGCCCTTTAAATGTGTATAGTTTTTTCTTTCCTAATAGACTTTGGTAATAAACAGTGATTTTGGTGAGCTCATTTCTCTTAATTTCATACTTTTATAGAAAAAAATTAGTCATTTTTGGTTGTATTTGGTAAGTTCTTGAAGCCTTTTAGATGTGTGATTTTGTTATTTCCTAATAGAGCTGTGACAAATAGCACTTGTACTCTTTTCTCTTAATTTCATACACTGTGCAGCATACATTTTTCACATGTTCAAAAGCAATGAACATATCTTACTCAAGACAATTTAGATAAAATTTAGTCTTTGCATAAAGTGCTTGATTCTCATCTTCAATTGCCTAGATCAGTTTTTCTTTAATTTTTTGAGAGCTAGTTCTCTCTTAGCTCTATTGAAAAGTACTTAGGGTAGAGAGACTAAATAGCAAATAATTAAAGGTATGATTCTGCAGATTAAAGAAGAAAAACTTGACAACAGTGAATGTTGTGTAAGATAAAAGCTTTTCTCATACATCCAAAATAACAAGTGAAACAGTTTAGAATTTCAAAATAGTCCTTTATTAGTATATTATAGATATATATTTTAAAACTTTACAAATTAGGTAGAATACCTCCAAAATTAAATGTCAATTCTCATGCAATCATTGTGTAAAAGTGATACATAACTGTTTCTTGGCTTACTAGTAGTATTACACCAGTCACTTGAAACAACATCCCTAAGATTTAATAATATACCGTAATAATTCCACCTTTCACTTTTTAGAGTTTGATAGAAGGCAGTCAATATCCTGAAGGATTTCAGAAGTTTTTTTCAATGCTACTGATACTCTCTTTTCATTAACTTCTTCTAGCAAGGTTTCTGTAGATCTTGGTTTACAATTATCAGACAACTGTTCTTTTTTCTTATTAGAAATCTCTTTCAAGACTCCACTGGTCTCCAGCAGCACTGAATTACTTAATTAAGGAACTTTTCTCCACATTTCCATTATATAAAGAACTTTATTTTTCAGAAAACCTGGGCTTCATATTAAAGTATTATTTCTCAGTTGGAAGTAAGATCTCTTAGATCCTTAAGAGTTGGGGCTTCAGAGCTTATCAAGTCTACCCTTTATAGATGAGGAAGTTAGTTATAGA